ACACTCATCATCATCTTCTGGATCTCAAGGGAGGAAGTGCTCAAGAAGCGGGAGATCGAAAACTCCGAGAGATAGAAGACATAAGTCAAGATCACCATCGTCACGGAGAAGAAGGGCGGAGTCAGAATCTCCAAGGTGGTTCTCGAGAGCATTGTGGGTGCAAAGACGGAATGATTTCCCCCCACCGGGAAATCGAGTGTGGTTAACGGCAGATCTAAAGGAAGAAATTTTTAAGCTCCGCCGAGAGATGGACAAAGTTTTCAAGACACTGAAGCAACTTACACGAAAGACAAGTGAAAAGCAGCCAGCTCCTCCGAACAAGGAAGACACCGCAAAGAAGCCTGAGCTAACTCCGGACGGGCTCAAGTCCATCATTGATGAAGCACTGAAGCCGACAGAGATGAACCAAGGGGGACAGAATCAAGTTGGTCCAAGCGCAACCGGTCAGAAGAATGCAGAGGCGGAAGATAAAGTAGAAAGGATGGTATCGGGAGTGCAGAAGGAGGTCAACAACCTAAAGCTACTAAAGTATGATCTGACGGTTGTGAAGGGCGCGTTGCAGAAGATCAATGAACCGACTCGTACCTGCACTCCAATCGTGTCGTCTTCGGTTCATCCGAACGGATATGTGGGGACAATGGCTGGACTACCAACTTCAGTACATGGTAGCCGCAACATTCCGAGTCGAAGCATGCCAAGCAGAAACGCATTGAACAAAAGCAGATTGGGACGCGTAATCCTTCCACACTTCAAAAGAGGACGAACGAAGATTAATCGCAACGTGTCGGCAACAAAGTCAAAAGCAAAACGGAGCATTAATTTCGGGGTCGAACCAATGACGGACATGCAGCTCCTTCATCTTCACTACACGGACCTGAAGGTCTTACGCAAGATGCATGACATCAGGTACAAGGACAAGCCGTAAGCGATCTCGGCATTGAGGGAAGTTCCTGGATTGATCGCCTACAAGAGGCGGGACTTCAACCGGGATTCTGATCTTGAAACACAGATCATGCCAGATCCTGATAACATTAGAAGTGAGGATGATTACGAGAGCCTTAGTACAAGATCAAGCGGGAGTGATGAGTATGACTCATCCGATACATCTTCGAGCGCCGAAGATCTGTCGGGAAGGTAGAAGACACCTCAACATCAGGCGATCTCACCACGACACAGAAATGGGAGCAGATACACAGGCTCTCAACGGAAATTGAGCAACTAGTTAGTACAGGGAGTTTCACCTTGGTGTAGACATATGTACGTGGGGAGGACAAGAAGACAACCCGACAAGAGATGGGCTGAACACATAAACTTGGCCAAAAATCCAAATAGAGGAACACAGCGAAAACTATACAGTTGGCTGCACCAATTTGGTTGGCAGAAATGTGTTCTCATACCCATTTGGGTGGGAGTGAGATCAGCAGTGATAGGGATGGAAGCAGCACTGATTAGGAGACTAAATCCATTCTTGAATACAAGGGGAAAAGAAAGACAGACTCAGAAAAACCGAAGACGAAAAAGGAGAAAGAGGAAGAAAAATGGAAACAATGAGGTGAATCAGAATATACCTATTTTGTTTAAATCGGTTCGATCGGGTTACACTACGAAATTAACATCAATCCGTCAATCGAAAGGAATGATTTACTGCACAGCTGGAAAACTATGGAATGAAAAATGAAAAGTAATTAAATGAACATCCGGATCAACAATTGTGGAAATTGACAACACAAAGTTCCAGCTAAAAAAATGCAGAAAACGGATCGAAAATTGATGTATCTGCTATGTGATCCATCTGGTGCATACGTGACCGAAAACAAACAAACATAGAAATATTCTGATTAACTGCTTGAGGGCACCGTGGAGACGGAGGGAACGGTATAAATTATCGTTAGATGATATACCGATTCTTCTGTCAAAGGTGCGATCGATTACCGGAAAGAAGCAAAGACGAACAATTAAAGACATCTTCACACGAATTTCAAAGAAGAAGTTTGCATTCAATATCAAGAGAAGACTGATATTTAAGATTCCATTTTATGCATGCATTAATCTTAAGCAAGTGAGAAACACAACAACCGATTCTATCTTGGAAAACGTAAGTAATAACAATTTGACAAACGATTTGACAATTCGGATGCGTGTGATGTTTAAAAAATCAAAGACAGTCGAGGAAATATTACACAATCACAGACAGATGCTTACACAAGCATCGGACTGTAATTGTGCAGTATCCCGACTTCCAAAAATTGAGAACCACATTGCCTGCAGATTAAGTGAAATCACAGAAAATCAGCTCTTGTGGAATGCAAAAAACATACCCCATATGAACGAAAGAATTGAAAAGGAAGAAATTAAAAGGACAATCATTACTAGCATTGCAAGTATACCACGACCACTAAGGAAGAAAAGAGAAATTAAAATAGATGTCTCTACTTGCATCGAAAAGAAGAATGATATGAAGATTTTTCTTCACATATCAGAAGTATGAGAAGTAAAAAGAAGATTGACACAATGTATCCTATCACTATTGGACATAAATCGTGGAGAAACTTTTGTGGAATGTCGTAAAATTTGGTACGAGAAGACCCGAAAATTCTTTCCAAAATCGAATCACTACGAAATTATACAACAAACGGAATTTGAGATCACTCAATTGGCCAAAAATACGTATCATGGATGTGGGTTGAAGAAAATCGCAGAATAGGATGAACAGGGATCATACGAAAGTGCGTATACAATTCTAAAAAGCAAGAACGTCACCAGACGCCGACCAATTGTGTAGACATATAAGGAGTTATCTCGGAAAGCATCGAAGGTACTATCAAGAGCTATCAACTTCGTGTGTCAAACATTGAAAGTTCGTTTCTCACTAAAAGGAACGAATCAACTACTACATAGACTGAAGAAATGCAATAAAGTAGCAAAAGAAACATACGGAGATATGGCTACGATAATCTGCTCCACATACGACGTCAAATATATGTTTTCGAATCTCGATCACACACATATCTTAAGCGTCATGCAATGGATGATGAAAACGACGAAAGAAAAACGGGGAAACCACTTGTGTTACAAGATGAGAGGAAAATACATGAACTTTGGAAAAACAAACGGAACCTACGGATGAAGAACATTAAAAATTGAGTGCCTAATGGATCTGTTGTACTATGATATCAAACACGCATACTTCAAACTTCAAAGTACAAGGAACATTATTATGCCAAGTAATGGGGATACCAATGGGGAAGGGCTCTAGCCCACGCATTGCCAATATGATATGCGCGTTCAACGAGTACAGATGGTGTGCACAGACTGGAATTGATGAGAAACTTATCCACGATATGAGTTTTGTGGATGATGTAATGATGATCATAATAGCAAGTAAGGAAGATCAAACGAAAGAGTTGGAATGTCTGAAATCTTTTCA